AGCAGCAAGGCCCCACATTAATAAGACCCCGTGTTGACAGCTGCTTCAGAAGTGTTGGGCTTTTTTTTCAGTACATTGTGTCTTGTGAATGGAGTATTGGTTAGAGGCTGCATCGCAGGGTCTTTTTGATATTCAAGTTTACTTCCCCCTGGACTTCTGACCCTTTCTGTTTCCGGAAGGGGTGTTTTGCTTCCTTCTCTTCTGAGAGCAGCTCCTGGCCTGCTGCAGCTGCGTGCCTGATTCTGCACGGCTGCTAAACGGTGAAAGCAAAATGTCATCCTCTGTGTTTCACAAAGGCAGACCTGTGTGCTTTTTTTCAAACTATTTTTGTGGTATTGGTAATGGTTTGGAAACCAGCTCAGGAGGTGTATACTTGGAGTCCTTGTAGCCATTATTGTAATGCTAATTTATTACTCACCCTTTGTTTCTGTTGCCTGTGATAAATGCTGGGCAGCTTTGTGCGCTGTGCTTTCATAATGTGAGTAATGTTTAGATTTCACCATTACGCCCACTTTCACAAATTACTTCTGATTGGGAATTTGTGCACCATCTGCATGACCTTCCAAAGCCTGTAGCTGTCCCAGATTGCCATGCTCAGGGGATGTGTGAAAGAGCCAGCCAAAAGAATTAAGGTCATGTCACCGCTGGGGACAGAAATGGAACTTGAGAGAAACGGAGATCTGGACAGTCCCTAGGAGAAGCATCTGTTTCGGGTGGAGCTTGAATAGAGGGATCTTACTCCAGCGCAGCAGCCCTGGGTTTTGGGGATTAAGAGAAATCTCTTGCTTTGACAGGAGTAATTAATCCAGTAAGCTCTTTGCAAGCCTTCAGCTCCAGAATGGGAAGAGGAAGGAGACCAGAGGGGCCTGTCTTTAGGGTTTGAACTATTAAGGTGTGCTGGGGTCACAGTTTCCAGCTTGCTTCTAATCACAAGGGCTAGACATGGCTTTCCTTAACGGATGCTGACATTCCCAGGTATTCCAGAAACCTTAGGTAGCTGTGGTTTTAAGAAAAGAATTGCCTGAGGCAAGACTCGCGATGAAATTGCTGCAGTTGACAACCCTGCAAATGTTCTTTTGTTGGTATTGGGTGTAATTAGCATGCTTTGCACTTGGTCCAGAGCCCAAGGAAAGCGCCTTATGAACTTCAGTGGGTATTGGATCAGTCCTTTCTGTCTGCAGAAGTGTTAGAAAAGAGTTTTGCAGACACCTTTATAAGCTTGGTCATTATTGCTTTAGGGGAAAAACTTTAGCATTGGCTTAAACTCTGTTTCCCTGTGCCATGCTAGATTTCAAATAAAGACAACCTTCCATTCACTTTGTTCCTGTTAGTAATTGTCTAATGAGTTCAGCTAGGGCGAGAAGCTGAACATGACCTTTTAAGTTTGCTAACCACTCTCTGTCAAAATTGGGAAGCATCCTCTGCCTCCTCTGCGTCTGCTACCACCTAGTACTTGTAAATGCATGACATGGTAAGTTGTTATATAGTGAATAACTGAATGCGTTGATACTTTATGTTCACAGTTGATTTCCATCAAGGATGCTATATTTCAATTATGGTGAAACAGCTTCAGCAATAAGATTAGAATCTGATTTAACTGGGGAATAAACAGATGATTCCATGAAAATTGGTAGTAAATGGCAGGAAGTTAGTAATCAATCACTTCTTGCTAAGCAATGGATGAACTAATGTAAAACTTTTACCTTTTTTTTTTTTTTTTTAAAGCCACTGGTTATTGGTCCCAACCAGTCTAATACATGCTGCATAGATAATTAGCAGCAGTGAGTTTTAGCCAGACTGCCAGTGGTATAGATCGTCTTTGCAGAATTGCAACCAATAGTGAACAATTAGAAGACAACTTATTTCTGACTTGAGAATCTGGTTACCTGAAATCATATGTATGACATAAGTAAATATTAGGCTAGCTGTTTTCCTCACATAAATACTCCATGTTTAAAGGAAATGGTACAAATACTAGTCTGAAGGAAACAAAATATGGGGGGGGGGGTTTAAGACTTCATAGATGATTCCTGCAACTGGAATGTGAATTTCAGAGGTGCTGAGCACCCAACAAGTCTAGTCGGAGCCTAGAAGAGCTATGTTACCTTGTGGGTTATCTCTTTGGGTTTGGCTTAATGACTTATCTGTGTCCACATGGGGATACATTTTTGTATGCTGTATGTTCTCAAGATTTGTAAGATGGGGAACAGAAGAATCTCTGAACAGTACCATCCTGCAGCAAAACCGTGTAGCATGGACAGCCATCTCCATTGGTGTTCATCCAGCAGTCCTCTGAATCTCCCAACTTTTTGCTGCCTTCTGCTTCTGAGATGCACAGAAAAAAAAAAGTAGAGTACAGGTGTTGCAAGCGGCGGGGGAGCAACTGTTTTAATAAGAGATCTTGAAAATCTTCACGATCCACATCACAACCAAACTTTTGGAAGGTCAACTATGTATCCATTGGATCTCAAACAGTGGTCTGCAGAGCTCCTTTCAGCTGTTGATAAAGCAAAGAATTGTTCCCCATTAGTCAGAAAAGAAAGGAATGGTTTTTTGCTGGGTTTTATGGAGGGAAGTGAAGTATAGAGGGCAAGTGCAAATTGTTGTGCCAGCCAGATAAATGCACCATCAAAAAAAAAATTGGTGCGACAGGGACACCTTGTGGCCCCTAAGGAGAAGCCAGCTGCTGGAAGGGGTTAGCTCTTGAACTTTCTGGAAGAGTTATCTCATGCGAGCTGCTCCTCGAGGCAGTTCTCCAGTGTAAACAGTTATCAGCATCAACTGTGCTAGAACTTTTTTAAAGGCAGGACTCTTACTCTTTCC